GAACCTTCTCCAGAACCCCATAAATGACCTCGAGTGACCTCCCAGACCCCATAAGTGACCTCAAACCTTCTCCAGAACCCCATAAATGACCACAAATGGTCCATAAATCACCACGAACCTTCTCCAGAACCTCATAAATGATCTTGAACCTTCTCCAAAACCCCACAAACCACCACGAACCTTCTCCAAGACCCCATAAACCACCATGAACCTTCTCCAGAACCCCATAAATGACCACGAACCTTCTCCAGAACCCCATAAACGACCATGAATCTTCTCCAGAACCTCATAAACCACCATGAACCTTCTCCAAAACCCCATAAACCACCATGAACGCCCTCCAAGACCCCATAAATGACCACAAGTGGTCCCTAAATCACCATGAATGTTCTCCAGAACCCCATAAATGACCTCGAACCTTCTCCAGAACCTCACAAACCACCATGAACGACCTCCAAGACCCCATAAATGACATCGAGTGACCTCCCAGACCCCATAAACGACCACAAATGGTCCATAAATCACCATGAATGTTCTCCAAGACCCCATAAGTGACCTCAAACCTTCTCCAGAACCCCATAAATGATCTTGAACCTTCTCCAAAACCCCACAAACCACCATGAACGACCTCCAAGACCCCATAAATGACCTTAAATGGTCCATAAATCACCACAGACCTTCTCCAAAACCCCATAAACCACCAAGAACCTTCTCCAAAACCCCATAAACCACCTCAAACCTTCTCCAAAACCCCACAAACGACCATGAATGACCTCCAAGACCCCATAAATGACCACGAACCTTCTCCAAGACCCCATAAACGACCATGAATGGTCCATAGATGATCATGGATGGTCCATAAATAACAATGAACCTTCTCCAGAACACCATAAACCACCATGAATGTTCTCCAGAACCCCATAAATGACCTCGAGTGACCTCCCAGACCCCATAAACGACCTCAGACCTTCTCCAAAACCCCATAAGTGACCACGAGACCNTCTCCAGAAGAACTTTTGGGTTCCTGGAGAACTTTTGAGGTTTCCATGGAATTTTTGAGGTTCTCCAGAAGAACTTTTGGGTTCCTGGAGAACTTCTGAGGTTTCCATGGAGTTTTTGAGGTTCTCCAGAAGAACTTTGAGGTTCTCCAGAAGAACTTGTGGGTTCTCCACGGAGTTCCTGGAGCTCCCGCCCGGGTCCCACCTTGCAGACGGACATCTGGTTGGTGGTCAGCGTGCCGGTCTTGTCGGAGCAGATGACCGAGGTGCAGCCCAGGGTCTCCACCGAGGGCAGGCTGCGGACAATCGCGTTCTTCTTGGCCATCCGGCGCGTCCCCAGGGCCAGGCAGGTGGTGATGACGGCCGGGAGACCTGAGGGGACATCTCGGGTCACCACGGCCACCAAGGCCACCCAGGACAGGGAGGTCCTCAGGGGGTGGAGACCTCGGAAATGACCACAAATGGTCCATGAGTGACCATGGATGGTCCATAAGTGACCACGAATGTTCTCCAGAACTCCATAAATGACCACAAATGGTCCATGAGTGACCATGGATGGTCTCCAGAGCTCCATAAATGACCATAAATGGTCCATAAGTGACCATGGATGGTCTCCAGAGCTCCATAAATGGCCACGAATGGTCCATAAGTGACCATGGGTGGTCTCCAGAGCTCCATAAATGACCATAAATGGTCCATAAGTGACCACGAATGGTCTCCAGAACTTCAAAAATGACCATGGATGGTCCATAAGTGACCATGGATGGTCCATGGATGGCCACGAATGTTCTCCAGAACTCCATAGATGACCATGAATGGTCCATAAGTGACCATGGATGGTCCATGAGTGACAATGAATGGTCTCCAGAACTTCAAAAATGACCATGAATGGTCCATAAGTGACCACGAATGGTCTCCAGAGCTCCATAAGTGACCATAAATGGTCCATAAGTGACCATGGATGGTCTCCAGAACTTCAAAAATGACCATGGATGGTCCATAAGTGACCACGGATGTTCTCCAGAACTTCAAAAATGACCATGGATGGTCCATAAGTGACCACGAATGGTCTCCAGAACTTCAAAAATGACCATGAATGGTCCATAAGTGACCATGGATGTTCTCCAGAGCTCCATAAATGACCATGAATGGTCCATAAGTGACCACGAATGGTCTCCAGAGCTCCATAAATGGCCACAAATGGTCCATAAGTGACCATGAATGGTCTCCAGAACTTCAAAAATGACCACGAATGGTCCATAAGTGACCATGGATGGTCTCCAGAACTTCAAAAATGACCATGAATGGTCCATAAATGAGCATGGACGGTCCAAAAATGACCACGAACCTTCTCTAGAACTCCATAAAGGACCATGAATGGTCCATAAGTGACCATGGATGGTCTCCAGAGCTCCATAAATGACCACAAATGGTCCATAAGTGACCATGGATGGTCCATGAATGACCACGAATGTTCTCCAGAGCTCCATAAGTGACCATGAATGGTCCATAAGTGACCATGGATGGTCTCCAGAATCCCATAAATGACCACAAATGGTCCATAAATCACCACAGACCTTCTCCAGAACCTCATAAACCACCACGAACCTTCTCCAAAACCCCACAAACCACCATGAATGTTCTCCAGAACCTCATAAATGACCTCCAAGACTCCATAAGTGACCTCAAACCTTCTCCAGAACCCCATAAACGACCACAAATGGTCCATAAACCACCAAGAACCTTCTCCAGAACTCCATAAATGACCTCCAACCTCCTCCAAAACCCCACAAACCACCATGAATGACCTCCAAGACCCCATAAACCATCTCCAACCTTCTCCAGAACCCCCCAAAACCACCATGAACCTTCTCCAGAACCCCATAAATGACCACGAGCGACCTCCCAGACTCCATAAATGACCACAAATGGTCCATAAATCACCACAGACCTTCTCCAGAACTCCACAAACCACCATGAATGACCTCCAAGACACCATAAATGACCACAAATGGTCCAGAAATCACCACGAACCTTCTCCAGAACCTCATAAATGATCTTGAACCTCCTCCAAAACCTCACAAACCACCATGAACGACCTCCCAGACCCCATAAACGACCTCAAACCTTCTCCAAAACCCCATAAACCACCATGAACATTCTCCAGAACTCCACAAGTGACCTCAGGTGTCCCCCCGGACCTTCCGGGNAACTTTTGGGTTCTCCAGAAGAACTTTTGGGTTCCTGGAGAACTTCTGAGGTTTCCATGGAATCTTTGAGGTTCTCCAGAAGAACTTTTGGGTTCCTGGAGAACTTCTGAGGTTTCCATGGAATTTTTGAGGTTCTCCAGAAGAACTTTGAGGTTCCTGGAGAACTTCTGAGGTTTCCATGGAATCTTTGAGGTTCTCCAGAAGAACTTTTGGGTTCTCCAGAAGAACTTTGGGGTTCCTGGAGGAATTTTGGGTTCTCCTGGAGAACTTTGAGGTTCTCCAGAAGAACTTTTGGGGTTCCTGGAGAACTTTTGAGGTTTCCATGGAATTTTTGAGGTTCTCCAGAAGAACATTTGGGTTCTTCATGGAATTTTTGAGGTTCTCCAGAAGAACTCTTGGGTTCTCCATGGAATTTTGGGGTCTCCATGGAATCTTTGAGGTTCTCCAGAAGAACTTTTGGGTTCTCCAGAAGAACTTTTGGGGTTCCTGGAGAACTTTTGAGGTTTCCATGGAATCTTTGAGGTTCTCCAGAAGAACTTTTGGGGTTCCCGGAGAACTTCTGAGGTTTCCATGGAATTTTTGAGGTTCTCCAGAAGAACTTTGAGGTTCTCCAGAAGAACTTCTGAGGTTCCTGGAGGAATTTTAAGTTCTCCATGGAAAATTTGAGGTTCTCCAGAAGAACTTTTGAGGTTTCCATAGAATTTTTGAGGTTCTCCAGGAGAACTTTTGGGTTCTCCATGGAATTTTTGAGGTTTCATGGAGAACCCAAAGAACTTCTGATGTTTCCATGAATTTTTGAGGTTCTCCAGAAGAACTTTTGAGGTTTCCATGGAAATTTTGAGGTTCTCCAGAAGAACTTTTGGGTTCTCCATGGAATTTTGGGGTCTCCATGGAAAATTTGAGGTTCTCCAGAAGAACTTTGAGGTTTCTGGAGGAATTTTGGGTTCTCCTGGAGACCTTTTGGGTTCTCCAGAAGAACTTTGAGGTTCTCCAGAAGAACTTTTGGGTTCCTGGAGAACTTCTGATGTTTCCATGGAGTTTTTGAGGTTCTCCAGAAGAACTTTTGGGTTCCTGGAGAACTTTTGAGGTTTCCATGGAATTTTTGAGGTTCTCCAGAAGAA